CTTCAATCTGGAACCCCACATGTCCAAAAGTGGATCCAGCCATTGTGAATCTACATGGATGTCCTCCTGGTGGTGGTAAGCCATAGCATGCTGTTCCAACAAACGTGGGGGACAAGGCATAGCTATCCCCTTCACATAACTGAATGGTAAACCTTCCAGCATGAACAGCAATATCAGGTGAAGGAGGAAAACTAAGTAGTCATCCCCTGACCTTTTTGCCATCAAGGAAGGAGTAGATTCAAAAGCAACCAGGGAAAGCCCCAAAACCTCCCAAACCCGAGTGACTAATTTAAGAAAAGAAGCAGGAGGTGGTTGATCCAAATTGGCCTCGTGAGAAGCCGTCCTAGTAAAGGAAGATGCTGGAAAAACTGAGTCCAAATTCTCCTTAGAATGCCCTCGAGCATCAAGAAAAGCAGCATCAGAACCTCCAGGAGAGACACCCATGGTTCGAATATATGTCTCAATTTCCCAACAACTCAAATCACGGACAGCCTCAACTGCCCAAAAACAGCACTTCAATTTTTTTCTAAAGGAAAGTATAATAGTACAGATATCCACAAGGTAATGCCAAAATTGCAATCAATAATGTAACCAAGCACACCACTGCATCAGAGAAAATCGTGACCGAGAAAAAGTGATTATATTATCTGAGTGAGGTGCTTATATACAGCACCAGGATAGAGAGAACATTGACATAGGTGGAAAATATCACAAGAAAAATATTGCCAAGTGCATTTATGTGGGGTATAAAAAACTGGAGCAAGCAAGAACAATGCTGATATGGGCCAAGTTTAAAACCTGAAGGTCAAGGAATAGCTGTCAGTGTCACTGGAGGTAAGTGTGTTTTGGAACAAAACCTAAAGGAGTTCAATCTACTCCAAATCATCTGGCAAACCACTCCATAAGTCTAAAACTTTACAGGGAACATTTTTCACTTAATACCTAGTTTGGACATGAGCTTCACAGCTCATAATAATTTCCTCTAATATTTAAAATTTCATCCCCAACTCTTATCTTCCATCAATCAAACAAACCTCTCATAGGTACATTTTCTTCTTCATATGGAGTGTTATAACAGCAGGTTAGAGTTGTATATCAAGGTCTGAAATCAATTTGATAGTGTTGGGTGTCACCTTATGGAAGCCATCGATACCTTCCAAAAAGTAGTGTTTAGAGCACGAATTTATAATGTGATTAAGTGTTTGAGTTGGATGCCCATAACTGCATTTAGGGGTGTCCTTAATCTGCAATTTGCATAGCAGCGATACATACCTTGCTTGTGCAGTGCAGATATGATTCAGGACCATTTTTGGCTCATGTTGGAGATCAAATCCTGGAATATCTTTTGATGGGTCTTGGATAAGGTGTCAATTTTTAATGTCACTGTGGATCCATGAGTCTTTACAAATGGGTTATAGAAAATTGAATCCAAGATATAAGGTTTCTTACAGGGTACCAGTTGGCAAGATTTGACTCAGATACAGGAAGGATTCTGCAAGTCCTCATTGACTGAGATTGCAGGATTTGTTATAAATTGTTCATACTCCTTGATAATGCTCTACTCACAATGAACTGGTACTGAATCAATACGTGTGAGGACAGGGAGCCATACAATCTGCTTCAATTTTAGGGCTCCAGTAATTTTAAATGGATATCAATGAATTCCATGTGACAGCTTTTTGCCCATGTCGAGCAGCTTATCCAATCCCATAGTATTTTTAAACACCTGAATCAAACCATCTTAAGTTCTTGTATGCCAAAAAAAAATTAAAATCTTTACATTATAAATATTTCAGATCAGGAATCACTTTGAGAATCCTTCCCTGAACTTTTCATGCAAATCAATATCTCTTGTAAATAAAATAACATAAAATCAATACAATACTCCATGCAAGACTTCATCAAAGGTTTGTACAATGTAATGATAACCTCCATGTTACAGAATTCAAAATTTCTATAAACAGATCCTAGTTACTCTTTTTACCACTTCTGACAATTCAGCTGAACACTACATGAATATCTAAATATGAGCACTGATCAATTCCCAAAAGTTAATGATAATATATGGATAGCAAGAGACAATTTAGATTTCAAAGCTGTCCCTGCACACTCACTCCTGAGGAAAAAATGACAAAAGTTTAAACCCATTCTTTCTTTTTCAGGAAATCACGAATACCTCTCTTAAACTCTTTTAAGGCACCAACATCCACTCTGACAGCAGTTCATTCTGTAAGCTTATCATCTATCACCCTATTGCAAAAATAAAATGGTCTTAACTGGAGTTTTGCCTGTCTTTTTTCAAATCTTAAATTTGTGTCATCTTGTTTTTAGAATACAGCAAAAAAGAAAACATGGGCCTCTATTCTGTCAATTGCCTGGATAATCTTGCAGATTTAAATAATGTCACCTTAAAAGAAAATAGGGTAAGTGATTTTAATCTACCCCTATAAATTAACCATTCCATCCCTGGAACCATCCTATCAGTCCTATTTGTCCAACTTACCAATTGATCAAATTAATTCTCCATATACATAGCTAGAAATACCCAAGCATTTAATGTCATTAGCAAACTTTACTATTTATGTTTATATCAATGTCCAAGAATGTATCACACCAAAGCTCAAGGTGCCAGCAAACTACATCAATACTATTTAATTTTAATACTTATTAGTATATATACATATATATATATATTAAGAAAATAAGGTAAGAACATTTGAATAACTGTAGCAAATATAACAGTTAATTCAGTTTAGTGTCTTAACACAGTAAGGAAAAGCACATTCAACATTTTCTAATAGTATACTTAATCTTATTACCATATGATAACAATATTTAAGTCTTCTTGGAAAATAGATTTCGACTTCAGTTTTTTTTCACTAACTTAATTTAAGTTGATTGGGAATAATGCAATGAATAGCACAAACTATAAACTCAGTATTTGTTCTACATATATATATATTCTTAGTAAAAATAGAACTCGCAGAGTGAGTTATATAGACATCCTATAACATGAACTTCGATCTTTTTGTGAAACATTTTGGACTTCAACTTAACTTAGAAATGCCAAACAGATTGCTGAAGGACTTAGGAATTATGTAGTATATAGTTAGTACATTAAATGCCATTTTTCAATGTGATTGGGCACAAAAAACAAATTACTGGTTATCACTGCAAACCAGATAAAGTTATCTGCCATATTTACAAAATCTTTAACTAAAGCTATTTGGTTAGATCTTTCTGATAACATTGCCATCAAAATGAAAAGGTGACACTGATTCAACAACTCAAACTTGTCTATCCCGTCACTTTTGACTAATACTAAAAAATGGCTCAGTAAGTACTTTATTTTATATTTGACTTTTATTTTGAAACTCTCACAGTATCATCAAGGACATTTTTAAAAGTTAAAATAGCATTTATAATATTGTTTTTTTAAATATACTTAAGCACTTTACATGTTTTTTGAAGAAAGAGGATACACCAATACCAGAATTCACTAAATAATAAAGAAAAAATGAGAGAGAGATTAAGAATTTCAAAAACAAGACTTGCTCTACACAATATAGTATATTCAAAAAAATCATTAAACATTTATTAAGTAGCTTATGGATTGAGGTTAACACTAGTTTTATATATTTATTTTGTAAATTGTAGCATAAATACAATTAGCATTGCTATCAGACAGATTTGCAATTTACAGTCTTTAAAATTATCAACTAGGGCTGGTAGACCTAATTCCTATACATGCAGCATGACATTGTTCAAATGTGGTTTGTTACATCATGTTAATTAGTTCAAAATTGTCATGTTTGGCATTGACGGACACAATGTTCATGAAAATAACAGTGAGATTTTTTTGGTTCACAATTTATTTTAATATAATAAATATCCCTCAGGCCTGCTATGCTATATCTCATTCATCTTTGCACATAAATGGACAGAAGTAGAGGCTGAGAGCTACATCATATTATCTTCTTAGTATCTTTGGTACACAGGAAGTGTACCCCCAAATATTGATTTAACCCATAAACTTAAAACAATCAATACTGAAATTTCTGATAGGAATTTTGTATAATATCAAAAGCTTATAATAGATGAGAGCAAGCAATTTCTATTATGAGATGTTGAACAAGTCATTGGGTCAAAAGACTTCTTTTGAGAATCTACTCCAAGATAGTCATGAATGTTTTAAGTAATTTGCACACAGGATGTTTCCAGGTTTAATATCTTGACTGAAGTTCTTGATACTATTGAGACACACTTTTCCTTTGATACAACCTGTGCCATATGCTGATCACTGTGTCACAAACATCTTGCACAGTTTAGTGAACTTTTTCTTCAGTTGATTAAGTAAAGTCTCACTGGCATTTAAGGATGATTACTTGAAGATTAACAAATTTAGTTCTGCTTTCTTTTGACTTTGAGAAATAACTTTGTAAATTGTTAGATTATGATGAGATTTTAAACTTAAAGTAGTTAAAGAACTTCAGAAGCATGTTACAATAATGTAAACAATCTAATTTTCTAGCTTCACTAAACATGAATAATTTATGTACACAATAATCGATTTTTATGTAATTTGTATTTTTACTCGTGAAAATAAACTTTGGTTTGAAATTTGAATCTGTCTTTTAGTGTGTAAATTGTAATTGATAAGAAAGTAACAAAGTATCTTAGTCAAATGGAATAGTACAAAATGAATGGTATAAACATTCATTTGCAACGATTATAGACTGCATAATTGTTTACTGTAGTAACACTGTACTCCCACAATTTGGTTTGCAACCCCCGATTTCTATTCTATTTGGTGAGTATTCTTAGCTACGTGCCTAGTACTACTAGTAGTAGTAGTAGTAGTAACACTCAGCAGAGATGCCAAGTCTGATGATCGTATTTAGAAGAGCCAATGTAGCATAACTAAAAAAATCAGCACTTTAAAACTAAAATTAACTAACTTCAAAACACAAAAAATGGCACAAAAAAAATGTTCTACGTACCTTTTCTCTATCAATAGGTTTCTCTTTATCTTTTTTATCCTCAACAACCGACTCTACTGGAGTCGCCATTATGCCGTTTTATGCCATCTAGTGTTCTAAATCGTTTTTAAAATATGCGTTTTCTCCCAAAATTCAATGTATTAAAAATACATAATTTGCTACTATGAAGAACTAACAGTTTTGTAGTTCGAAGTGGAAGATAAAAAATATGTTGCGACAATGAGCACCACTTGCCGAATTGCAAAGTGTAACATGTGACAGAGATTTACATGACATTATATTGTAAAACTCATTAGGTCACATTTTTAGGTAATGTGCGCTCAGGGACTGCGATAAAGGAGGTGGGATTGCAAGGTCTGAAGCTACCCCCAAATGTGGCTTAGGCTCCCCTGTAGAACCTGCACCCAACGAAAAGCTCGTTTTTTTTTTTCATTTCACTTCCTAAACCCTACAGTACGTGTGCCCAAATGATGTAGAGCCCCCCTCAATTTTTTATTTAGTTCAGTTCAGCCCCCTCATCGGGAAAAGGCTAGTACCGCCCCTGTGTGAGCTATTATATGTTACACCACTATTTGAAACACTGAAAAAGCAAGAAATATATAAATGCTAGATGTACCTATAACACTAGTCGGCCTCATTAACTCTTTTCGTAATGAAAGATTACAAAAATGGTCTAATATATTTTAAATCTGAGTCAAATTCCAGGAGCTAAGAATATTACTTTATACATTCTACAATCAAATATATATGTGATTTTGCTTAAGATTGTTTGAAAAGTATAATAGTTATTGTTATTTTTGTCAGTGTTAAAAATATCTATAAAGTGTTTGAACACATTTAGGGATCGTCTTTTGATTTCGTGTTTTGTTTTTTTAATATCTAATAAGTTCTCTGCTACACCTGTATGTAGAGAGTGGATATATGTAAAGCTTTCGTAAATTATGATTATCTATTTACTTAAATGTGTCTAAAACGAGTTATAAAATAAAAAAAATTGTTTAACTTATTTTACTGACATTTTAATTACCAAGCAGCAGAGTTTACATTTTGGCTTCTGGAAAACGTGATACAGAGTGTGTGTGTACATTAAAACGGACGACACTCAAGTGGTCAATTAAAAAAAACTGAATGAAGTGAGTGAAATTCTATAATCGAAGCAAATCAGTTTTGAACAAAAATTTCTAATGTTTCAGAAAAATGAAATGTTTTTGTAACACACATTTCACGTTTGCAACACCTGTAAATACTCGTTTAATAATACTTTTGTTCGACACTAGCAAGCGTGTAGTTGTTATTATTACAATTGTTTGTTTACCCGCTTTTCCCAAATAAACAGGAAGTCTTAAGTTAAAATGAATTATTAATACTGTCATGGGCAGAAATTTAGAGAAGGAAGAAGGCAGTTTTATATGAGAGCTACGCTGACAACAGCTGAGTAGTTTATTCTTCTGATCTTCGGCAGATAGAATTTTAAAATATTAAGTTTACATATTTCTCAGGGAAAGTAACGCCGTTTGATATTAAGTATTGGGATTGAGCTTGAAAAGTTTTGAATATGTAAAGAAATATATATTGAGAGGAATTTCAAACTTTATGATTTTGGTTTGGGTTGGAGATGCTTCTGATACTTTGATCATTGTAATTATGTAGAATGGCCCAATCAAACTAAACCGATTTTCTTTATTCGCTGTACTTCGATGTTTGTAAAAGATCAGACCAGGTGAATAATGCCAGAGAAAATATTAACTACTGAAACAAGTAAAAAAGTGTGATAGTGAACCATGTCGTATTATTATATTCAACCATTAACATATTGTGGCATGGATGCCGAAAATTAAAATTAATCTAAAAATAAAACAACAATAATCAGTGTTAATATATCAGCATAATAATACATCAATGTTTAAAGAATCAACAAAACATAAAAACACAGCTAGTTTTAACAGGCTAAGGTTGTCATTCTCAATTCTTGGAATACTTGAAACTGTTCTCAGGTTCTTATGTATAGATACCTAGGTTATGACCACAGTGTCTTGTACATTTAAGTTACGACAGATTCAGAAAGGTCAGCGTCCACTATTTTATTCGAAAAAAAAATCCAAAGAGGGTTGAGCTGAAATCCCATTTTACTATTTAGTATGATTTCTCTAGTTTTAAATATTTCGATCGATTCTCTTCTTTTTTTTCAACTTCCTATCTGACGACAATTTTTTTATGTTTTGTTAATTCTTTAAACATTTGTGCATTATTATGCTGATGTATTATGACTGTTTTTTTATGAATTTCCAAAAAGCACTTATCCTTCTTCAAGCCATTAATATAGATATCTATGTTTTACAAGTTTAATCACCACGTGTGTTGCATATTTGAAATCCAGCCTTCACAAACATAGTCTGTAGGCAGATTTTGTTGAATAAGACCGATGTCTGTAGGTTTACTTTATTCTTAGAAATCTTCTCAAGAAGTCGATAAGCCATTTTAACGTTGTTAGAACAACGGGCAAAAGTTGTAGATAGTGGTGAATTGGCCGACGCGTTTCGAATGCAGTCTGCATCCATTATCAAGGCTGAATGTTGTGTGAATTGCGATTACTGTTAGTGGATATTTATAGGCAAGCGGGTGGTGGTATTTAGCTCATTAAGTGGCGCTGTCAACTACATTGGTAGGCGTTGATTGGTGGAGTGTTGTATTGTGGCTTGGGGGTTTCTCGCCAAGAAGTAGCAGTGTGCGTTCTGTTCCAGTCGATTGTTTGTTGATTGTGGGGGTTTGCTGTAGGATCTGTATGGCCTCGTGTATCTGGAGCGTTGTTCTAACAACGTTAAAATGGCTTATCGACTTCTTGAGAAGGTTTCTAAGAAGAAAGTAAACCTACAAACATCGGTCTTATTCAACAAAATCTGCCTACTAGAAAATCTGTCACCAAAGTACACAAACATATTCTGTGAAACAGTTAAGGCCATACTAAAAGACTGTGAAGGATTTTATTTGGTACGTAACGAAAATAATTACATTTTGCTTTTATCAGGTCATCAGTCCTATGAAATCATTAATCAGAGCTCCTCAGTGAAAGTAAAGAAAAATGTATAATAATATGCTAACCATACTATATCTTGTGCCGACGAGATCTTTCGCCAATACCAACTATTATGGTACGAGCTGGATTAAATTGGTTAAATGTAATTTTTCATCAATTTTATCTATGTTACAACACATCGGAATTATGGTAAAGATTATTATAACCCGATATAATTTATTTGTTTAGAAACTACGTATCATTAATCATTATCATTTTCTTCAAATAACCTATTAATTATTCAGAAGAATTGGCGAATGTTATAATAATTCAGAAGACAAATTAATATCCCATAGGATGTATAAATAAATTATGTATGACATACAAGATTCTATATGATTTTCGTTTAGAGATTCAAGTTTATAGTTGATCTCTAGAAATTTGATAATTTTTACATTTGATAAATAAGCATCTTATAAGACTTGTGCTTCAGTTCACTTTTAGGATATATTATACATTTAGTGATTTTTGTTGATATATAGGATTACTACAAGACGGTACTAGCCAAACACCTACAGAAATATGTGCGCTATAAGATGATAATGCATCAGTTTGCTATTGGGGATCTTATTGGATTGTTTATAGGATTTTTTTTTATAAAACTCCTATAAAACATTTATATAAAGGTTTGTTTGTTATTAAGCACAAATATACACAATGAGCTATCAGTGCTTTATCAAACAGGGAAAAGAAACCCGATTTTTAGCATTATAAGCTTCAAACTTTCCGCTAAGCCACCGGTGGGCTTATATGAGGGAAGTTTCCTGAATTATAATAAGATTTTTATAATTATTTCGATTATAATTTTTTTTTATGAAATAATTATTTTTGCTGTTATTTAATTATTATTCAAATGGAAATTCATAAGTGAAAAATACTGATCTTGCAGCAGTTTAACAATTAAAAATTCTGCAGAAAATTAAAATCCAGCACGATAAAAAATATGATTATTTATTAATCAGATATCATTAATGTTGTTTTCAAAATATAAAAAATCAGTAAACTGAAATTTAATATTTAAAATTCTTTGTATTTACGTCTATTTGACGGAGATAATTATTTATTTTGTCCATCTCGTAAAAACAAAAACAGTGTGCAAAGTTTGAAAAGCATGAAAATGTCTTGTTTAATAGGAGTAGTAAATTCCTGGTAATGTTTTTCCTTCTGAAATAGAAATATGTTTTAAAAATTGTTATAAAAGGTGATTGTATTTCGTTTTGTTTTGAAAAGGACTTAATCAAATATAAGCCCTGTAAAACTTTTAATCTTTTGTGGTTATATAGCAGATATTCTTGGTGGCTCAGCGGTAAGCTTGAGGGCTTATAACGCTAAAGTTAAAGACTAGATCCCTGCACAGTTTAGCGCTTAACGACAAAACAAACAAATATATATATCACATACGGCCATTGAAGGTTAAGACCCATTTAAGTTATTGGTCATAGAAAAAATTGGATTATTTTTTTCATTGGAAATAGTTTAGCAAAAAATAGAAACATTGCTAGGAAAATGTGATAGTGTTCATGAGAAAAATTTTATTTTTGGGTGGTGTGCTACTACCCGCGAGGCCCAGCATGGACAGGTGGTTAGGGCGCTCGACTCGCAATCTAAGGGTTGAAGGATCAAATCCCCGTCCGAACAAACATGCTCGCCTTTTCAGCCGTGGGGGCATTATAATGTGACGGTCAATCCCACTAGTCCTTGGTAAAAGAGTAGTCCAAGAGCTGGCGGTGGATGGTGATGACTAAATAACCGAATCTTATGAAGGGAATATCGTAAGTAGCGACTTTAAAACCTCTTGTTTATGGCGATTCGGCGGTGAATCATATTTTGAAAAAAGATTTTCTTTTTGTATTTGAAAATAGATGATTACTACTGGAAGTTCCTACTTTTGACGTTAATAATTATATGCTCAAAAGGCCCGGCATGGCCAGGTGGTTAGGACGCTCGACTCGCAATCTGGTTCGCGGGTTCGAATCACCGTCACACCAAGCATTCTCGCCCTTT